GCGTTCAGTTTCAACCAGGACAGCTATTATATGCTTCCTTTGGAGGGACGTCAAAGCCTCCGACCTCGTCAAGATTCGCTGGAAGGGACTGGCTCGTGTTCTGATGAGAGAAGATGACGGTGAAGGCCGACTCCAATAGTACTGGATCAGCCACAACTCCCAGCTGCTTCGATGCGCGCCTCACCACTTATGAACAGCCATCGGGCAAGACACCAGCACCCTCGTCGAGGGACTCCAGCACGCCAAGCAAGACATGGCTGCACTCCGAAGCCGTGGTGTGACACGTACGTTGGACTTTACCCCTGCCAACCGCCAGCGACTTGAACATGTGGAATCGGAGGAGGAAGGCGAAGACTTGGAACACGACGATGAGGAGGAGGACACGCAGCCGCCACTACAGCGTCGTCGACTGGACGCCCCAGCCGGCGCACTGCAGGCTGCACCTTCACAACCAGTAGGTGAAATTGTGGTTGAGGACGAGATGGAACACACGGCAGGTACGACAATCTGCACCTTTGGCAGAAACCCCGAACACCGAGCTGCTGCCAGCGCTACCAATTGGATGTCCTATCTCAGAGTGAACCCTCTGAGGAACGACCGGCTATAGCCGCCCTGTACCAACCAGCACAACCAGTGTGTCACTGTGTCATTTCAGCTTCTTCGCAGCAGGAAACTATCTCGTTTGGCAACCGCCGCGCGCGAGCCTTCATTCCCCACCTGGCTGGCACGTTGAGGACGTCTACATCACACATGACACCCAGGATCAAAACTACTAGGAACTCCACGCCGGTTGCTTGATCAGACACCACCTGATCCCTGGAAGGACCAAGTTTTTGTCCTCACCTTCTTGCCAAACATGAACTGCAACACCTACCACTTCCACTGGGCCGATTGGACTCAGCTCGCATCACCGTTCAGCGCACTGGCAACTTTGCCAGGGGGTCCGACTTCACCCAATTCGGGTGTGGCAAGCCTTCACAGCAGAGCTGGACTGGCGTGACCATCTTTCAGGTTAATGGTGAAAGCAGGAAGGAGATGAGCATGACCTCACACGCCGTTCAACATGCTCGACAACTTGGTCGAAAGCAAAGAACCGTAGCCAACAAGAAGATCCAAAAGAACAAGGGCGAGATCAAAGAAAGAGAACTGTCCTTGCAGCACCGCCTTTTGTTTCAAGCCGCAAAACGGAAAGAGCTATCCTCCTTTTTCCAAAACGGTGTTTGGTCGTTCCAGACCACCAAAGAGGCTGCGTGGAGCAAGAACGCTGACGGTGCCCATGGCCAAAGCTCGACTTGTTGTTCGAGGCTAACGCGGATGCCCTCGCAGGTTCCTTCAAAACTTCATCACCGGCTGCCACGAGACTTGGCAAGACCCTGTTTTTGAGCCTCAGCAGTTGTTTGGGCTGGTGTCTCAACAGCCTCCTTGCAAGGGCTGCGACAGGAGAGAAAGCTTTGGGTAAAACTGCTACCATGTGTTTTGAAATGGAAATCCTTCAAGTTGCCTCGCGTTGCCCGCAGCTCCCTCGCCGCTGAAGCTCAGGCTGCAGGAGCTGCAGCTGACAGCGTTGAGTTCATGGTCCGGTTCTGGAATGAGTTGCCAATCTGGCCATGGACACTTCTTCGCTTCAGCTGGCGCTTATCACCGACGCAAAGGCCCTCTACGACGCCTATCAGCGTGATGCCTGGTCCAATGACAAACGGACCACCTTGGAGGTGAAAGTCACTCGACAGCACGTCGAGAGCTTTGGTGGCAAGTTGAAGTGATTTTGCGGCGATGTCTTGACCAATTTTGGCCGCCAGACAACTCCTGGCAGATCGCCTTCGTCACATGGCCATCAAATACACCTGGGATCGAGACTATGTGCCCGCCAAGAAGAAATCGGTGGAGAACAGATGGAGCAGTCAACACAAGTTCACAAACACGCAACAACCACATGACAAGCGCCAAACCTACACACAAGATCCACTACAATCAACAACGGCCGGAACACCGCCCATGGACATGGGACTCGACACTGAGGCCCGGCACGAGGGACTTGATGAGTTTGCCTTTGCCGCTTGCGAAGCGACCAAAGCAACAGCCCCTCAGCCCGGTATAGGACCTCGGCTCGCGCCCAAGCCATGGCCACGGATTCCTAGCGATGATGTCGCTGCTCTGGACGCCTGGCTGAGTCACTGACCCCGACTTCAACTGCTGAAGGCTGGTGGCTGCTTCAACTGCAGGGTGATGGTTCTAGCCGAGAGCTACGGGGAGCTCAAGATTTCCTGCAGGAAGAGCTTGACTTCACCAGGGCTCAACTTGAAGAACTAGGGGCACTTCAGGCCCGACAAGCTGTCCTGCCGCTGACGCCAGAAGAAGAAGACTGGCAGGCGACTGGCAATGGAATCCGAGACAAGAGAAGCCTTCATCGACGCAAAGGCCATCCTCAGCAGAGCCTTGGAAGAGATGACAGCCCATGCCAGGACGTGCCCCATCAGAGATGAAATTTTCATCGCGCCAAGGGCAGAGTTTGGCACCTCCGACCAGATTGCAGAGTTCTGGTCAAGCAAGCCTCTGACGAGAGGATCTACCAATGGTGCACCACTTGCCTGTCGATGGATCCACCCGAACACCAGAAGAACCTTGGCCGACGACATCGGCATGTTCCTGACCCACCACGGCAACGTGCCATATGATGCTCGGACTCGAAACGAGCTCTTTTTTGCTGCCATGGATGCATGGCTGGTACGGGCAGGGTGGGTACTTGACCGGCCGTGGCGAAAAGGTCGACTTCGTGTGCGACTTCCGTTCGTCGAGTCAGAACCTCGTGCGTCCGCACTTCGTGCTACCATAGCGTTTGCTACCATAGCATCTGATGGTCTTTTTGAGCTTGACCTTACAGATTCTATAGGGTTAATTCGGCACGGGATTATATATGTGTTCATTGCCTGCAAGTTCTTTGGGGGAAGTTTGTAATAAACCCTTTAGCCTGCCACTTTGATTGATGTGCTATTCAACTCCTGACCTGAAACCTCTGCGTCTCAGCAAACAAATATTGCCCGCCTTAATATGTGCTCGGCTCTTTACACTGATGCAAATTTGAGCAAAATAGTACAGTAATTGTAGACTCGTAGACTATAGATGGAAGTCCATGGGTACTCTGCTGCTTCAAGCTGCAAAATAGCTGCAAGCCCAATTCACTCTCCTCCCTGCCTGCCGACCAGGTATCACACATCCTTTAATGTCAAGCCGCAGCCGAATCAAAACAAATCTGAAGTACTAAGCCACCTTTCGATCTATATATTTCAACCAAGGATCTCAGACAGCAGCGTAGAAGGTGTGATTGGGAAAATAAACGCGTTGTCCGACATCCTGGCTCAGGGCACGGACACGGTCGCAGCTTTTGGCAAGCCAAGATGCTGTTTCTCTCATGCTACGCAGGACGTGTGGAGCAGGCAAATCAGGCTCTATCTCTGTGACTGTGACTTTCAAACGCCGACATCGGTTCAAGACTGGGTGTTCACATCGGTTCAACACCTTTCAACCCAAACAGCATGGCATGGTGAAGGAGTAGACTACGCCCTTGCCTACAAACTGTGAGTTAGAATTGCCGAGCTGCTGGTATGCCACCCAGGAAGTGGCTGTGGCACCGTCATCTGGGCCCCACTTGCCATCGCCACATTCTCGCCTGGCAGCCTGACGAGGTTGCTTGAACGACGAGTAGGAAAAAAGAACAGCTTCAGTCAGCTTCCGCAAGGCCCAGTTTCAAGTTTGAACCAGACTCCCAATTGTATCCGGTTTTGTGCCTCCAAGGCTGCTGCAATACCTGAATGCACCACAAACACCCAATGGAGTTTTGTGCCGCTAGTATAAAAACTGCAAATGTCTTGTACGCAAACACTTCAATCAAACAAAAATTCCGTTTGCACTGGAATGCAGCTGGGATCTTCACGTGGTTCCAGATCGAATTTTTTCGGCTTTTCAATGCGTGCTGACACCTGTCCGCTTGCTACTTCAAACAATGCTGAGAAACTGCCCTGTAAATATGTGGTGAAGTCAAGTCAAGAGAGCAGCTTGTGGAACAGCGCGATGCACCTTTTGCTGAATTGCCAGGGCCAAAGCTGCACCAGCCGCAGCACTGACTCCCACAACGGCGGCCTGCGCATCGACAAGGAGAAAAGCCAACGCATCAAGGTGAAACTCGGCAAAACTGGTTTTACTCAACTCGAAACCAACTAGTCCATTGGTCCATAAACAAGAAAAATGTCAAAAATGCAAAAGAATGCGGTTGGAATCCTTAAAAAACGGCCCCATTTATATAAAGATTGTTAATCTTTCCCCACTCCCCCTCTCGGCCCTGCCGGCCCTCTTGCCCTCTCGCTCTCTCCAGCTGTTGCCGTGCTTTGTTGACCCACACGTTTGAACACGCCTTTGCAATGGTGTCTTTGCTTGACATGGCCAGGAACAAAGACTCAACGGTCTCAAAACAGGTTGGAGACAACTTGTGACTGAGCAAAAGCTGCGCGGGTACCATCAATTTCTTGGGCAATCTCTTTGTCATGTCTGGAAGCATGAATGAGGCCTGACGAATCATAGTGCTTCAGAAATCTCCTTTATTGAACAATGTGAAGCAAGATTCTTTTAACTTCTCGGCCTGCTCCTTTCAAAAGATGTTTGCAAGCGAAGCTTCCAGGTAAAGAAACTTCTGCGTCACACAAAAACAAATTGACACTCCCGTTTGTGCGCGCTGATGCTGCAACTCAGGCTTTGGGAAATTTTGAGACCTCTTCTGCGACCGATTTGTGGCCCCTACATGGAAAACCACTGCCCATGCGTCTGAGAAGGTGCTCAGCTTCCTTTCTAGAATCAGTTTTGGTTTTGATAGCGACACTGTCACATGAGGCTGACTCATCGAGCTCGAACTGGGTTGAGGATGTGTGTCGAGCTGTAGAATGTGGTCCAAAAAGGCCCTGTGTTTGGGCCTTTAGTTGAACATTGAGTCTAGAGTCTAAGAAGTTGTTGTCAGAGCATGTCATTTCCTGCAGCAGCATCAGCACTGGAGAAATGACGCACAGCACCAAAACAGTGATTGACTGGATCCAATGATCGACCAGTGTCTTAAGGAGTATGGAGCTGTGCTGACAATCGAAGGAAAAGGTACTAGGCTTGAGCGAGCCCTTTAAATATCAGGACTTGCACTAGAGCTGTCATGGGATAGCTTCTGGTACCTGCATTGACTCACAGCAGCAGTACATTGAGAAACAAACCGCAAATACAAAAGTTTGCTAGCCTAAAAACTGTTCCAGAATGATTGATTCAGTAGGCGTGATGTTTGGAACAATTTGCCGAGTTGATTCGTTGCACATCATTGCGCTGCATTTTTCCTTAAGGGACAACCATCTTCCCTGCGTTCAAGGGATGACCGAGGAACGATTTGCCGGGGCCAGAGTGCATCCGAAGCCGCTGTTTCAAAGACGCCCGAAGCCAGGACTTTTTCTACCGCATTCTGAAAACACTTGCATTTTCGCATTTAGCATCATCCGTAGTATTCAGTGGCAGCGAGTGTTCTCATCCTGCAAACGATTTGAGCTCAGTCGAGTTCCCGCAAGCTTGCGCTGCCTTGGCATCAAAAAAAGCAACAATCATTGGAAGAGCGCAACCACGGAAAGCATCTCAGCTCAGGTCCTTGAAGTAATCAGAGTCGGCTTGCGGTCTTCACGATTGCGCGACCTGCTCTCTGCATCTTTGCCAAGAAGTGCTGCTCGCACATTTGGAAATGAAACTTGCATGACTTACATAACTGGTCCTTGTGCAAGCCAGGCTACATTGAGTACCTAAATGGTGCTACATTTGCTCATAGCCTGGAGATCTAATTTAGCCAGGGAGTGATCAAGCCAAATGGCCTGACAGAGGTCATACTCTGCATACGAGGAAGCTGGTTGCGTGGCTCCTCCCGCCCAGCGCTTTGCTTATTCCCGCTTAGATTTGTTCCAGCCACTGGCCCAGTCAGTTTGAGCACCCGTAGTGAGCTTGAGATGCTTATTTGGAGCTTCACCCACATTCCCTTGCTAGCACTACCTGGCTCAAGGATTTACTAAAAAAAGATAAACGCCATGTCAATGCAGCTTTACTTGGCATCGCAGTTGTCTGATGGGTGGTACCTGGGTCCTTCGTTCTATTGCACTGGACTCATGACTCTTTCATGCCATGCTTGACATTCAACCCTCATGACTCAGGATCACCTTCTTCCATCACATGAGCTTAGCCCCAAATAGCGGTGTGATGAGCAAGAATTTTACTCCCTTTGGATGTTTCACCGATCCAAAACTGAGTGCTGCACTTACGCTGTGACAAGGCCCTTCAGTCTGTTTGCACACCTGCGGCCGGTGAAGGACACAGACCAAGGTGTGGCCATTCTTCATTTGAGCATCTAATCAAGGCCTCTCTTTAAGCTTGGGATCGTCGCACTTCTCATAGTACTTCTTGCACTCCTGGAAGCCACACAGTTTGATTCAATCAATCGTCGAGTAACGATGCTGTTCCATTCCTCCACGTCGTCTTTTGATCCCAGAATAATCGGCACCCGCTGGTGCACAGAGACTGGTGGGATGTCCATGACACGGCTGTGCCTTGCCAGAAACTAACTATGGTCCTGTTTTCTCTGATGTATTCTTAGCAGCAAAGCAGCTCGAGACATGATGCATCTGCATGTCTAAGTTCCTGGCCCAGTTATCGCCAAGCCACCAGCCTGCAACCAGGTAGGTAGGCCGTTGCCAGGCAATTTACTTCACGCCTACACACTTCGACCTCGACTCTATGGTGTTGCCATTCCAGTTGCTGCTCAAGGTGTTCTGATTTCTAGAAACAAAAAGCAAAGCTTGTAATGAGACCTCGCCAAGGTGTTGAGCATGGTATGAGTTCACAGTGGACTGCAAAACAACAGAAAACCGCCAAGTCCAGCGGTCAAGCAGCAGAAGTTGATAAAGAGGGTCACAGAAAAGAAGCAGCCCCAGGCTAAACCAGGAAAGGGAGAGTGTGCAGGGGTTTCCAAACAATGAGCTCGAGGCTCCACCTTGCAGAAGATTGCTTGCTTGTCCAGAAACAAAATTCATCGTAAAACACGATGTCGCTGCGGACAGTCAATTCGATAGGAGATGTCATGGACATATACACATTGTGTCTGTCGTTGTACTCTGCCCAGAACTTGATGCATAGCATCTCAGACACGAAGCAGCTAAGGAGACAAAACCTTGTATTATGCAATCCAAGTGTGCCTAGGTCTGCGCGCTATCTACCCCGTCACAATGACATTTGAAGTGAGAAGCTGAAACGATCAATTTTTGAGAAAACCCGCTTGAAGACAACTGGGATTAGAAAGAAACGTCTGTGAATCTAGTTTCTCAAACTCAGATTTGATGAGGCCGGGTGAGTTGGATGTTGGGCGGGTCACTAGATACAGCCAACAACTGGTCCAACTGATGAGCACCTGGACCCACCGGTACTGATCCCCATCGCTTGTCGTCTCTCCATTTGTACGTACGGCGTTGAGCCAATACAAGGACAAAAATTATCAGTTAGAAGTGCTGGTGCGCACTCTCGTCATATCACTTCGGGGCATGGCAATGCTAGCTTGTGCTTCGGGGTCTCGGCTTTCTGCACATGCCAAGGCATCCAAATAGTATGTTTGTCAGAGTCGGCTTGGCACGCCCTCACAAGAAAAAGAATTACACCACCGTAGACCCCAAACAGTTTGTGTTTTTCGAATCGGAACACTCTGCAACTAGAGCCTGCGACGTCCAGAGCTGGGAGACAAAGGATTGCAAGGCAGAGGCGGCCACAGCAGTCCAGAGCTGGGAGACAAATGTAGACACAGGGAGACAAATGTGCAAGCGAGATGGAGACAAATGCAAAGGCTTGCGAGGACACATGTAAAGGATTGCAAGGCAGAGGCGGACACAGCAGTCAGAGCTGGGAGACACATGTAAAATTAAGGATTGCAAGGGAGAGGCGGACACAGCAGCCCAGAGCTGGGAGACAAATGTAAAGGATTGCAAGGCAGAGGCGGACACAGCAGTCCAGAGCTGTGAAGAAGAGGAGACAAATAAAAGGAAGTGGGAGACAAGCCAGCCGGGAACCCGACCAGAAGCACCCAGCCTGGGAGACAAATGAAAAGAACTCGGAGACAAGTGAAAAGAAGTGGGAAACAAATTAGCCCAGCTGGAGACCCCAATAGCAAGATACAAACCGGGACAAAAAGAAAAATCTGGAAACAGCTGCTGTTTTCAACACATCGACCATCTCTTCCTTGGACACCATCATCACATAACCGCGACACCATCACAAAATGACCAGGGCACCATCAAAACATGACCGAGACAGCGTCACAACATGATTGGGACACCATCACAACATAACCAGGACACCATCACAAGGTGACCGGGACACCAGCATGACATGACGGGCACACCATCACAACATGACCGGGACACTATCACAACATGACCGGGACACCGTCACATGACCCGAACACCATCAAAACATAACCGGCACACCGCCAAAACATGACCAGGACACCATCACAACATGACCGGGACACCATCAAAACATGACCGGGACACCGTCACAACATGAGCGAGACACCATCACAACATGACTGGGACACCGTCACAACACGACTGGGACACAATCACAACATGACCGGGACACCATCACAAGGTGACCGGGACACCAACATGACATGACGGGAAAACCATCACAAGATGACCAGGACACCATCACAACATGACCGGGACACCGTCACATGACCCGGACACCATCAAAACATAACCGGCACACCGCCAAAACATGACCAGGACACCATCACAACAGGACCGGGACACCATCAAAACATGACCGGGACACCGTCACAACACGACCGGGACACCATCAAAACATGACCGGGACACCATCACAACATGACCGGGACACCATCAAAACATGACCGGGACACCATCAAAACAGGACCGGGACACCATCACAACATGATTGGGTCACAATCAAAACATGATCGGGACACCGGGACACCAGCATCACATGAGCCGGACGCCATCAAAACATGACCGGGACACCATCCGCCCACCAGCTCTGACGGTGACCCGATGGCGCCCGTCCGCCTATTAGTTTTGCAAGACCCCATAGCATGGCTATTGGGGTATGAAAGGAAGTGGGAGACAAGCCAGCCGGGAAGCAACCCGACCACAAGCACCCCGCCTGGGAGACAAATGAAAAGAACTGGGAGACAAATGAAAATAAAAGAAATGGGAGACAAGCCAGCCGGGAACCCGACCACAAGCACCCAGCCTGGGAGACAAATGAGCCTGGGAGACAAATGAAAAGAAGTGGGAGACAAATGATTACACCACCGTAGACCCCAAACAGTTTGTGTTTTTCAAAATCGAAACTAGAGCTTGCGACGTCCAGAGCTGGGAGACAAATGTAAAGGATTGCAAGGCAGAGACGGACACAGCAGTACAGAGCGGGCGGACACATCTTAAGAAAGAAGTGAGAAGCCCTAACAGTAAACCTTTTGGGGAATTATTCTTCAAGCGCGAACATGATGCTGGTCATGCTGCTCAGTCAGCGGGGCGCTGACCACGTGAGGACAAGAAACAAAAGCATGAGGAGCGAAGGGTGTGACATGAAATTGATTTCTGGTGCCTGACGTATGCCCTCCGCCCCAACTGAACAGAGAGATCGCTGCCACGCCGCCAAAATCCAATCCGGCATTCATCCAACGGTTGCCCGAAAAGGAAAACAAAGCTGAGAGAGTTACACAGTGTGGCAGGAATGCAATCCCGGAGACAGTCACGCACCCCTTGCAAAGGAGCAAGAACCTTTCACAGGCGAACCTGTTCCAGCGGACAGGGCAGAAAACAGCAGTGCAGGCACCAAACCTGAAAGACAAAAAGAAAGAAATCACATGGGAGACAAATGAATAGAAATGCTACATGGCCAGCGGAAAAGGGCGGCAGCACCAGTGACAGACCCGGGAAACAAATGAATAGAAATGCTGCATGCCCAGCGGAAAAGGGCGGACACCAGCAGTGACAGACCTGGAAAACAAATGAATAGAAATGCTGCATCGCCACCAGAAAAGGGCGGACACCAGCAGTGACAGACCTGGGAGACCAAACACTCACAGTCAGACCTGAAAGACAAATGAATAGAAATGCTACATGGCCAACGGAAAAGGGCGGACACCAGCCGTGACAGACCTGGGAGACACATGAATAGAAACAGCGGAAAAGGGCGGACACCGCGAGTGACAAGCCTGAAGGACAAATGAATAGAAATCCAGCGGAAAAGGGCGGAAATTAGCAGTGACAGACATGGGAGACAAATGAATAGAAACAGCAGAAAAGGGCGGCAGCACCAGTGACAGACCCGGGAAACAAATGAATAGAAATGCTGCATGCCCGGCGGACACCACCAGTGACAGACCTGAAAGACAAATGAGTAGAAATGCTACATGGCACCAGCAGTGACGGACCTGGGAGACAAATGAATAGAAATGCTTCATGGCCAATAGACAAGGACATACAAGCACCCAGCCTGGGAGACAAATGAAAAGAACCGGGAGACAAATGAAAGCAAGTGGGAGACAAGCCGGCCGGGAACCCGACCACAAGCACCCAGCCTGGGAGACAAATGAAAAGAACTGGGAGACAAATGAAAAGAAGTGGGAGACAAATGAAAGGAAGTGGGAGACAAGCCAGCCGGGAACCCTGGGAGACAATGAAAAGAAGTGGGAGACAAATGAAAAGAAGTGGGAGACAAATGACAGGAAGTAGGA